GGTCAGAAAAATGAGCGAAAATGTTATTATTAATCATTTGGGTCACTATAGCCGGATATAATTTCTTGAGAATCAGTCATAATAAATATATATATATACGTATGCGTTCAAATAGTAAAATTTTTTGTTTGTTTACCAGCTCATTTTTAATCTTTTTCCGTTTCACCGTATAAAATGTTGCAATAATTTGATACTTTTTAAAAGATCAAGGAAGGTTAAAATCGATTTATGTATATATGTATGTATGTCGTGACTTTAAAACATTTATTGGCATTCCTTGGAAAAGTAGCATTTTCAAACGGTTTATTCTGAATTTTTTTTCTAGAGAGACGGCACGTTCACGACAAAAAGTTCTCTGAGATTCGTAGCAAGTAGATGGGAGAACGGGCAAGCATTTCACTGCTATGCCGAGAACCTGGTCACAAAAGAGCTCGAAGAACCACCTCTTCACGAAGTGCTCCCACTCGAAGTGCTCTGTACGTATTCTTAAGTACACATACAAATACATGTATATATGTACATATACAACACATACAAGGTGTTTTAACAGTCTAAAATTATACCATACGATTAGAAAATGTCTTTATATGTTTGGGTATATTAGATCTCCATCAAGAGTATTAGCTATGTGATTGTCTAACATAGAAGTATTGTTGAGAAAGATAGAATATACCGACACATTTTTAGGGTCTTCACTCATTAGTTACTTAATTTATTAAAATGTGTTAACATTCTCATAAAAAATATTTTTAATCGTATCATTTATACTTTCATTTTTGTTTTAGACTCATTCTTTTATTATTTATTGGTCAATCCTCTACCGCTGTAAATACCTACTCATACCCAACAACTTAAATGTACATTTTATTTTACAAAAGTTTTCTAGATAGTTTCTATTATGTTACAATAAGACACCAATAATATGGTCTTCTTGTCTTTAAGAAGTATCAAAAACGTTTATCTTCAATAAATATTACACTAAACATCGAACATTCCTCTAATGTGCATAATCTTTGACTTGGTCAATGCGCTTTTGTAGACAGTGTGGCAGTTTCTAAAAATCTATCTCATACAAAAGAAGAAAAAGTAGAGAAAGAACGAATACAAAGATAGGAGACGAAAAATTAGAAGAAGTGGCTTATTTTAGGTATCTAGGAAGTCAGATAAGTCAGGACGAAAGGAGTATTAGGGATCTAGATAGACTTCCTGCAGAGGATAACGCAGCGTCGAGTCGCCTTCAATAAAAAGAAGTCACTTCTATGGTCGCGAACGGTTAATTTAGACATTCGGAAAAGGTTGCTCATAGTGTATGTTTGGAGCGCGGTGCTGTACGGGTGTGAAACATGGACGCTGGGCGCGGCAGAAAAGAAAAGGTTAGAAGCGTTCGAAATGTGGTGTTTCAGGCGAATGATGAGGACACCGTGTATAGAGAAGGTTAGAAATGAAGAGGTATTAGAAAGAATAAGAGAACTGAAGACTCTATGGAATTAAATAAGAAGTAGACGAGATAGATTGGTAGGAGACCTTCTCAGACATGAAGGTCTATTCAGAAACATATAAGAGGCAGAAACAGGAGTTAATAGGGGTAGAGACAGACCTAGATTAGATTACTGTTCGCAAATAATTAAGGATGTGGGATGTTCTAATTTTGGGGAAATGCGAAAATTAGCTCAGGATAGGAAAGAGTGGAGGTGCGTGTCCAACCAGTCTTAGAACTGACGACCTTATGATGATGATGTGATACAGCTCGCCACCATGTTATCGAGAAAGCATTTGATCGGTTCTTTCACCTCAATATTATCATTAAGGCTCGTCTTGGCCAAAAGTTCGTTAAATACTAGGAAAAATGATAAACAGTGGATACCAAGTTCGAACTGTAAAAAGGAAAGGAGATGATTAACTTCTCGTCGAAAATACGGTCTCTCGGTTCTTTTTTCGTCGCGAATTCCCATGCGGCCAGTTGTGAACTTCTGGCACTAGTTGTGGATATTTTGGACATCCATTTATACACTTCGACCAATTGTTGTAGAATTTCAATGGTTTTGCATCTAAAAACCGAATAGCTGCACAACCTTCGCACCTGACAGTAGCAACGTATATATCTCAGTAGGAACACGTCCGAGGAAGCCGAGGCGAATCATCTGTCCCGTTTGTATCTTAAAAAACAGAAAGAAATCGGCTGATGCAACGAACGCGGTGACATCCGACCAAGCCGTACATTTTATTTGATTTGTTATTCATTTAGTAGATAATGACTGGTGACGACGATTATTTATTAATACAACGACGCAAACGGGGAAAGTATGCCCAAATATGTCGATCACATTAAATCAAATTCTCTTTGAAGTACCGACTCAGAATGGATAAAGTCCGGACTCCGATATATACGCACCATTACAAACCACTATTGAGCTAAGACCAAACGTACCAGAAGCCTAAGCGATAACTTTTTTTTACTTTTTTACGGTCAAACGCTTCTAACATTTCCTTTTTCACAGCGCCTACAGTTCACGTTCCACATCCATACATACATACATACAAAAAGTACACCTCTAATATTTTTTTTTCGAATTTTCAAATTAACTAAGCACAAAAGCTACTCGACCGATTGTGAGGTATTTGACTCCCTGGATATCAAAAATCGACTCGTCTAGTTTTTCGTCTCCTATTTTTATATTAGCTCTAACCCTACTTTTACATGTCTTACATGCCAAGATTTTATTTTATTATTCTATTAATATTCATACCATACTCTTTATGCTAAGGGTCCACATTAAAAACCATTGCATTCTACCCTGTATACATTTTTATTTGGACATGTACAGATTTTTCAATGTTTCTATTACAATTCTTTTTTCCAGATCCACCAATAGTGACCGTCAGTCCTGCCAACATTACGACAAACGAATCCGTAGATGTATTGCTCTTGTGCTCATACATCGCACATCCATCTAATTTAATTGACGTTGTATGGTACGTAGATCTCAATTAACAATTTTAATTTTTAAAAAATTCGATGTTTGCTCACTGAAAGTTCAAAATCGACAATTTTTTTTAAAGAATAGTTTAAGATGAAAATCATGTATATTTACAATGAAATTAACTCAGTATTAGTAACAAGGAAATGAGCAAGCTTTTTCCACATGAAAAAGCAGTTTCTAAGTTGCTTTTTGCGATTATGTGCACAACAATAAGTACCTACATGTTACAACTGAAGTCAAACTACTGCAACATTAACTGCCGATTGTAAAATTAATTGTATTATATTAATTTAACAATGTTATTTTATCATAAAAGACCAGGTATTATAGAGCCTACAATCGTATGTTAGTTTCCAAAAATCCTGTTCTTTTTATGATCTTAATATTATTACTTATACAAGTGATGAAGAATGTATATCGATTACTTAAAAGGTCTAGCGCCGTTAAAGATACTCAAAGCAAGAGGGGCTGTTTTCAAGGTAACGAATAATTCGTGAATGACACATGCATGACCGCGTAACAAAATAATTTCTAAAGCCTTCCAGAAAAATGAAAATAATTTGGAAAATTCGATTTCGATAATTAATATAAATAAACAACTGGTTCCCCGATGGAAGTCAGTTAGCTTATTCTTATCAAGATACCTAGTTACTAAAAGGTATTCAGTTTTCAGATATTTTGAATGTGACGGTACCAGTTTTGATTGTGTATATGTTAGGCCCGAAGACCGAAAACGCTTAGTGGCCGGAAAAAACGGCCACATCGCGTTCTGGCTGCCTTCGAACGCACAGAACGCGTTTTGGCTGTTTTTAAACGCTCGCGACGCGTTCTTAATGTTCGACTTGTATTATTTGCCGCTTTCTACCTGCGTACAATGAGATTTATATTGTACTTATAAAACAAATGAATAACAATCCATTTTTCAGTTTTTAGGAAACAATTAAATTATTGACAACTATAATTAGATACCAAAGATGGGTTCGGTTTTTCTCGCCGAATCATTTCAACAATATTAAATTTCTTGCAATTGTTTTTCAGTTCTAGGAAGAAAGTTACACTGAACACTTATATTGTCGAGACTCCTGATTTTTATGCGCAATTTGAGCATGCTCAGCTTCTCGTACAAGCAATTCGTACCTTTCCTCAGACAGCAACATAGATCTATCGTCACAACTATCGATAATTGGTTTTACTTTATCATAAAAAATTTCTTTCGCTGATTTATCAGACATTTTAATGAAAGTGTAACTTTTCAAACGACTTTAGTAAGTTGTTTAGTCAATGATAGACTGATTTTCTCGCTACAATGACGAGAACTGTACTAATTTTTCATGAAGTCAAGTTAGTTATTATATACTCAAAGTACAAAGTGTTCAGTGTAATTTTCTTCCTGGAACTGAAAAACAATTATAAGAAATTTAATATTGTTGAAATGATTCGGCGAGAAAAATCGAACTTATCTTTGGTATCCAATTATAGTCAATAATTGAATTGTTTTCCAAAAACTGAAAAATGGATTGAAATTCATTTGTTTTATAAGTACAATATAAATCTTATTGTACGCAGGTAGAAAGCGGCAAATAATACAAGTCGAACATTAAGAACGCGTCGTGAGCGTTCAACAATTGACAAAAAGCGTTCCGACTGTTTAACAGTTACCAGAACGCGTTGCGAGCGTTTAAAAACAGCCAAACGCGTTCTGTGCGTTCGAAGGCAGCCAGAACGCGATGTGGCCGTTTTCTCCGGCCACTGAGCGTTTTCGGTCTTCGGGCCTAACATATACAACACGACATGTTATGATTAATTTTGAAATAATTGCATTTATCAATTTGAATATCAAATGAATTAATTTTCTTATTGACAAATCGCTGTTTTGTTTCATGTCTTGCTTGACCTTTTCATTTAGAGATATTTTATAATTTGCACCACGTACTTTAAGAGACTTTAAAAGTCATTAGAAATAAAAAAGAAGTATTTAAAATTATAATGATATAAGAATAAATTTATGTATACTCAGTTATTTATCATTAAACTTATATTAGGTAATATTTCACACGGAAAATACGAAACGAATATTAAATAAAGTTTATTGTACATGTACATACTCCGCGTACTCGGTAAAATTTTGTCTAATTATATGTAGACAAATCTCATAAACATCGAATACAGTAATCATCCCGCATATTTGGGGATGTTTTGAATGAAATTATTTAATAAGACACGCCTAAGCTTTAAAGCGTTTGATATATAGTGTCATAGAGCAGGGGTCGTTAGATATGGAAATAGGCGAGTTCTCAGACATGAAGGGCTAATTAGAGCCATATACAAACAGGAGTTAAGAGGGGTAGAGTCAGACCTAGACCAGATATAAATTGTTCGAATTATCGAGAAATTATTGAAGATAGGAAGAAGTGGAGGAGTAATAACAATTGATAATTTTGATACTAAGGTAGAATTAATTTAACGATCAAATTATTCGTCATTGATTTAACCTTGCCTTATGATTAGTTTCACTCTCTCATCATTGGCGGAAGTTTTAAGTTTTAGCGACTTTAAGCATTTATTTGTTTATGTCTTCAAGTATCTTAATACGTCCTTAATTCCACGGTTGGCCTCTTTGATATACGGTATGATAGTTAATCTCAGTTTATCTTCGTAATCAATTACATTGAAGTTATAATTGGAAACAAACTTTCCGTTATTAATAAACTAACTTAACACTTACAGCTAAACATATAAATTGAGGGTTGGATAACTAAGTATTCATAACATTCAACTTTGATAAGTTTACCCTAATAAATAAATAAACAGTAATTCTGCGCAGATATCACACATTTTATATAATTTACTTCTGTATAGCTCTGTGTGCAGGGGATTCCACCTAAGGAGATTTCGTCCACAACTCTGTTATTACACATTTAACAAAAAAATTTCTATAAAAAGGTGGTCCGGGATCGGACCTTCAAGTTTAAGTGTTTATGACCCTTTTAGGGTTAAATATAGACGAAAATTGCATATAATCCTTTTAATTAATCACTGAATTAAGTACCTGTAAAACAAATTGCGATGCTATTTTGATTTACTTTTCGTTTATCTAGTATTCTGATTGAAACATTTTCAAAATTTTGATGTTGCTACTTACAAACGAAAGCATTTTTTGTGGCTCTACTCCTTTAATTTTATTCTGAATATTTGTTGTCAGTTGTACACTTCTCTGCATAAAATTATTCTCGATAATGCATTCAAATTCCTTACGGATATTTTTCGTTTTTCTTGGTAATCTAATACATTCACTATACAGGATGTAAGTGTTGAGCCTTAGACATAATATATTACATGCAGTAACAATCGCACAGTGAATGTAGCAATGTGGTTAAGGGCAAAATTGTTTTTAAGGAAATTTACAATCCGAAGCCGGCCCTGGGCGTGAATTGACAACATGGGTGTCTACCGATTAGCGTAGTGTAGCTAAATGAATGGAGATTGCCGATTATCCTACGTGTAACATAAACGTAAACAATTACACATAGGTGCCCGATAATAATACCTTAAATGAGAACATTTTTTCATCGCTGATAGCACGCAGCACTACGTAAATTACACCTCAACGTGTATTAAAAACGCAAAAGAAATAGAAAACGTCGATTAATTGTAATTTTATTAAGGTAAATTCTGCACCACCATCGAAGTGTTGCCAAGCGCGTTACTTTTTTTACGGGTGGATGTAAGTAAAATTATCAAAAAAGCCAAATAAAATTAGATTCCGTATCACACATTAACCAAAAACAGTTCGTGTTATCGCGAAAGATGTATCTATAACATGCGAATTTTCATCGCGCCAAAAGTGATTATTGTGAAAATTCACAATTCCGTTCCACTTAAAACAAATTTGTATGTAAACAACATCTCATGAAAAAAATTAGACTATACAGCACTTTCCTTTCGGAACTACCAACACAAATTCAAGCAATAAGGCTGGAACTCGCTGCAAATGATAAGAATGCAGCATTTTGTTTTAAATCTGCCGCACTGTCACATGAGAGGAGCCAATGTTGACTGCTATTTTGCGTGTACTTATTTTTAGGAGTGTCTTTGAGCAACAAAATGTAAAACAAATACTGCAAACAACAAATAAATGCAGGTAATCACCAGCTGATTGAGTGCGGCGTAGCGGGTCGTATTCCTGTATCAGGGCCGGAATTGTATTTAACTGTACCTTTAACTATTTTGTTTTTCTAGAAGACGGCGAACATTTAGACACAAACATTTATTTAATTTTTATGTTTTATAATGCCCTATCACCTCCTGTAAGTTGGGAACTTATTTTTGTTACACCCTGTATATGGAAATAAATTGACCGTTTCGTATCGGATGCTATTGTAGACGATTGTGCGGTGTAACTTTTATCTTGTTAACTTTCAGGAAATAGCTTTCATGAATTTCAACGAGAAAAACAGAAATTCATCTTAAAGTATCTTCCCGTATTCAGTGCACCGTTTCATCGTCTATATAAATAAATTATGCATAGATATGCCGATCGTAAGAAACGCTTTTCTACGCAGCGATCACAGCTTGCTCTTTACTACATTTCAATCGATTATTGAGAAATATTCAGTTCATATTCGAATGCTTTTACTGCATGCATTCCAATCGTGTTATTTGGGTTAGTATTATTGGTTGGCAAAGTCGATATTGCCTGTCTCGTTCCCTACAATGCAATGGGTTGGCTGAGAGATATCGATTGAAATTTGCGGGTTTTCATGATTGGTCACTGTATCAGAGTAACGATAACTTTTTACCAACGTCACATCAACGGTCGATTTATTTGTGCTTAATTAATTCGAAACTTCAATTAGAACATGCCACCTATTAGTTAGGTTCGGGTAACACGATTCCCGGACATGGGTGATTAAAGAAAAATAAAACCAGACAAACATTAGAGAATCGTTAGATTCGATTCAAGCAAGTAATTAATTCCGATATTCCGACTAC